AGTGTGCAGAGATGCAGTGTGTGTGTGTGTGTAAGAGGAAGAGAGAGAGAGTGTGTGTGTGTGTAAATGTATGTGTGTGTGTGTGTGTGTGTGTGTGTGTGTGTGTGTGTGTGTGTGTGTGTGTGTGTGTGTGTGTGTGTGCACGTGTACAAGAGTTGCACATCTGAGACACTGTCACAAAACATTAGTCCATGGCAAAGCACTCGCGCAGCAACAGCCCGGAGGTGCAAGCATCCGGCACCTCGGCAGAGCCTGCACGCACGCAGCTGTCCCGTGCCCGCCCACCTTCCGAGCACCGCCCACAGCAGGTGCCGCCAGAAGTACTGGTCCCCCCGGGCCACGCGCGGCTTCCCGTTGGCCGCCCACATCTCGCAGTGCTCGCAGCCAGGCCGCGTGCGCGCGCACTCGCTGCTGCCGCCGCCGTCCCTGCCGCCGTCGCCCTCACGGGCGCTGGACGACCCCGGCGCGCCCCCGCTGGCGCCGTCGCTACTGTCGCCGCCGCCGTCGGCGCCGCTGCCGCCGCCACCGCCGCCTCTGACAAAGCGGGCCGCGAAGCGATTCACCCGCTCGATGTATTTGAGAACCTGCACAGAAGCCGCCGAGGGTGACGCGCCCCCGGTCAAGGTCTGGGCGCACCCCGCATTTCAGGCGGCTGCGGTGGTGCTTTCTGGTGTCGCACCGAGGGAATTTGCCACGTTCACCCGTCCGCACTTCTCAACCCAGCCTTGCTGCGAGAGGGGCCCAACCCGGATCGCCGGGGAGGAGATCGCACCTCGCGCCACAGCTGCTGACTGTACTCCTGCGCGCAGCCTAGCGCCTGCTGCGGCGGCATGACTGAGCCGTCCGCCAGAGTCAAGATGTCATGCACCTGCTGCCCGCCGAGAGGATGACGCCGCGCGCAGCCCCCAGGCTGCCAGATGCCGGCGCTCCCGCCGCCGCACCCGCCCTCGTCGGAAGCGGCAGGGGCGCCGGCGCGTTCGCCGGCGGCGCCGTCCGACGCGCCGTTTGCCGCGCCTTTCGCGGTCTCAGCGGCGCCCGCCAGAAACGCCACGCGGCTGTCTCTGAACGCGTGCGCCAGATTGCGTATCACGAGGTTGCTCTGGGCGGTCCAACGTGGATTGCAGAGTCCGATGCAGGAGGCGGGCCCGGTGGGATGGGCCGTCAGGCGTGGGTGGGAGGGCGCGCACAGATGTGAGGGCGGCTAGGCGCGTACCGCCGCAGCCACCCCCGAGCCGGTCACACAATTTCACGTGCAAGCACACATGACCTCGTTGGTAGCAAGCGCGCGCGAGCGCGCACACACCTGCACCAGCTCGAGCAGTTGGTCTGCCAGTGCGACGCCCTCCTCCCCCGCAGCCGCGCCAGCCGCGCCCGAGCCCGCGGCCCCGCCGCCGCCGCCGCCGCCACTGCGCTCGCGCTCCTCCCGCGCAGAGTCCGCCCCAAGCGCCGCGCTCGTCAGCCGGATCAGCAGCGCCAAGCACAGCGCCTCGAGCGCAAACGCCTGTGTCATCGGGCACGCGCCATCGGCCGCAATCGCGGCCCGGCTCGTGGCCGGGGCGCCGCCCGTGCTCCCCCAGACGGCGTCGCACCAGCCGCCGCCCCAGTATTCTGTCCCCCGCGTCGGGCCGCCGCGCCCCGCCTCGCCGCCGCGGCAGCTGCCATCCGCGGCTCCGCCCGGGCTCCCGCCCTCTGGTGTGCTGCAACCGCCGGGGCCGTGCACCACGCCCGCTCCGTCCGTGCCGCCGCCGCCGCCGCCGCCGCCGCCGCCACCGCCGCCGCCGACGCCGCCGCCTTCGCCGCCGCGCGGCTCGGCCGGCCAGCAGCCGTCGCACACTTGCAGCAGCCACTCAGCGAATTCCCGGGCCGCGTCCTCGGGCGGCGCTCCCGCTGCGGGCCGCGGTGTCGCGGGAAAGTCTGGGCCAAGGGGCACGCCCGAGTCCCCATGCGCAAGCCGTGCGTACTCCAGAATGCACGCCAGCGCAGCGATCGAGTTCTGCCGGCCGCGATCGCCCCCGCTGCCGCCGTCGCCCCCGCTGCCGCCGTCGCCGCCGCTGCCGCCGTCGTCGCCGCTGCTGCCGCCATCACTGCTGCTGTTGCTGATGATGATGCCGCTGCTGCTGCTGCGGTCGTCGATTCCCGCAACTCCAGAGAGCAGAATGGCCGCACGCCACCTCAGCTCGGACCGCGCAATCAGCGTTTTTTGGTCCGCCGCATCGGGCCCCCGAACGAGGGCCTCCTGTTGCGGAGCCCCGAGCGCCGCTGACTGCGCCCCTGAACCCACCCGTGCGCCGCTTGCCGCATGAATGGGGGCGTCGCCTACGGCGGCTTGTACCCGGAGCCACTGCAGCGCCTCCTGGCCCTGCGGCCGCGGCAGGATCAGGGCGTTGGCGACGCCGTTCAGCGCAACGCGCCTGTCGCGCCGCGCCGCGGCCGCCGCGGC